TCTCTTGGGTCCATCTCTCATACTCGCCCTTGAACTTTTCGCGCAAACGGTCGTCAGCCTCTCTCCGCTCGAGCATTTGAGCAGCATTGGCACCACCAGTTCGGACACCTTGGTGGGGACGTTCCTCACGTAGCACTTCTGCCACCGCAGCAAGAGCATCTCGGACTGGGTTAAGCTGCCCTTGCTCAAGATCATCGGGATGCTCGTCAGGGTCACGCCGCAGGTCTTCCCGATCATCAGGATTGGGGTCTGCACGTCGTCGTAGAATTTCGACCTTCGTGTTGAAGTCCTCGCGTTGTCGGATTCGACGCAGGCGTACACTGACCTGTTCCGCCGTCCTCTCAGAGTTGGGTAAGGCCTCGTAGAAGTATCTGTGTAACGTAGCCTCTTGCTTCTCACCTGCCACTCGGTTGGCCGGGTTTAACCAGTGGACATAAGCAGCGATGATACAATCATCTTCATGCTCTTCCCACCTGGTCCATAACCGCCGCGTAGGGCCCCTTTGTGCGGGCAACTGAACGTGACGCGGCCTATCGAGTTGACGGCCAGGGCCTTGCTGTTCGCTTGGCATCTGATTCGTCGGGCTGTCGTTGGGAATATTGTTGTACGACAAAAAAGGAGGCAAAGCTCTTATAAGAACAGATACTACACTTGATCATAGCCAAAAGGCCGAGAAGGTATGCGAAGTAGAGACGTAGAGAAGCTTTTAGGATAGTAGAAGTGTTGGAAGTGTGGTAAGGGAGTACATGCGTGCCATCAGTAGTCTCTTCCTCAAATGTCCCTGATTTTGTGTCGTCAACATGCGTGGTTGTCATTGCTCTCATCGGGATGCACCACGATCGCGGTCGATGGTGAGTAGTCATTTGCGGAGGACTACTCTACTGGGTGAGTTGAACTGAATGCGCGGAAATTTGGCGTCATCACGGATTTGAAATGGAAAAAATATGAGCGTCACGGCTGAAGATGATTTCTTATCGGCGCAAACTAGATGGCTTTTGCAAGTGAATTGTTTGGTGTTTGCCGCTGGACTCACTTTACGGGAATGCGCCATATAGAGACCAAAATGGTGGTGATGCCGTTCGGAAAATAATTAGGGAAAGAAGTATCTGTGATAGTCATTTTTGATAATTTGGCGTCACCAATCACCCGGAGGTAATGCCCCTGAGTGACAAGTTTCCTTCAATATAATAGTAGATGTATAGTAGATGTGACTCCATTCTGCTAACGAAGCAGTGGTGATGGGAGAGAATGGCATCTAGAGTGTCATAATCCAACCTTTAGAATACCAACGATTTCCGAAGTATCTTGGAATTGGAGATAATGGGAGTGGTGAATACCATTTATTTCAGGTTTGGGGTCGACGATGCCAGTTATCGAGCTGGATTGAGTCAAATTCGGCTGCGCGCGGAGTAATCTGCGACACCCAACAGATAGTGGAGGGAGTCAGGAGTTGTATAAGGTAAGCAACCCAAAGAACGCGCTAGCATTGGGAATGGAATCGAAGGTTTAAAACGACATAGTCATGGGAGAATTTCCATGACTGGGCATCGAACCTGGATATGAGATGAAATGCATTCAGCACGAATTGAACCCACGTATCGGACATGATG